CCCCATCACTGAAGGACACATATCATTCGTTTCCTTTATCTGCTTATGACATCTGGCTTGCTGCAAACATGCAATATATGCCCAATGTGAAGTGAACTTCAACCTGCTGAAAGAATTAAAGAATTGTAAAGAAGTGTTAACAATAATATTCTATTATAGTATGTGTGTGTATTCTATTAGCATTAATATTCTGTGTGTGTGTATATTACATTTACATTTGAATTTTTTGTCATTTTGTTGTGTGTTTTTGTTATTAGTTTCTTTTCCATTTTTTTTTTTTTTTATTAATTTTATTTCAGGTTAATTTTTACTAATTTTATTTTTCAATTTCAACTTTAAATGAAAATTAGAAATGAAAACTAACTGGAATAAATTTTATTTTATTTCTGTTAACATTTATTTCAATTAATGTAACTTTTTTTTTAAATAGTTTATTAAACGATAACAACACTGCTTGTAATATAGTGCAGAAGTCATATGGATTATTTTTATGATGTATTTAATGTTGAATTTTTTCTTTTTTGTTCTTTTTGGAGTCGGACAGTCCTGATCCCCATCAACGTTCATTGTTTGAAAAAAGCAGCTCAGACATTCTTCTAAACATCTCCTTTAGTGTTCTACAGAAGAAAAAAGTTATATGAGTTTGGAAGGACAAATACTAGTGATAGAATTTCAATTTTTGGGTGAACTATCCCTTTAATAAGGGGGCCTGTTAACACCAGGCAACAATCGTCAAGCAGATCTTTTCAACTGTTTTGTAAGATTATTTCAAGAACTGTAAAACCTGTTAAAGCTTCCCTCAACTACCCAATCCAGCATCCTTACGCTTCTTAGGTGTAACCGAGGACTGAAAAGCTATAGCATGATGTGATGGATCATCCTGTGACAACCTTTATTTAGCCTTCTTCTAATTCACTTCTCCTCTCCTCCACCTAGCCAGTGGCAGAAACCATCCCTCTCTTTCTTTTTGCCCCTTAATCTAATCCAGTCTGTTTGTTTTGCTGGGTGTTAAAGTACAGATCAATTGTGTGAGTTATGAAATGACATTACGGCGGCTCAGACCCGTCTCTCCCTGCCAGACAACATCTCGTCCTTCTGAAAATTACCCCCTCTGATTTATCGATTCGTTCTCTCTCTCTCGTTCTCTTGCTTACACGTACACATCCAAACTCAAGACAGCCGAAAAGTAGGACAGTCAACCACCTGGGAGAAACTTTCTCTGACACTCAAGAAGACAGAAAATAAAGAGGATGAGACATTTTGGACTACAGGTGCACAAATGTCAGTTTCCAAGAGTCAATTCCTACACTATTCTGTTCATTAACTGCAACATTTAACTGAAAAGTGACAAAAGGTTTTTTTTTTTCATGGTGACTGACATTCTTTTTAATGCAGAAAAAGGCAAGCATGTGAAGGCAAAAGATTATCAATGAAAACTTGATTGTGCATGACGTTGTCACATTCAATATTGCAAGCACACAGTGTTGCATTCTCAGTGTTGCCACAGAGGGCGATATTGAAGGCGTCAGTATCTTTATGATCACAATATTTATGGTCCGCATTCTCTTTCTGGTTATGGTGAAGCAACAGTTTAAAGAAAATCTTGCTGATTTGCTGAATGTTTAAAATCAGCTACCTTACACTCACATTCGGTAGACATCTGAAGCAATCTATTCCTCTTTGCTGGTTTATTATAGTTGACTAAGACAAAAACAATAAAAAAAAAAATTTAATTCTTTACATTAAATAAAACAAACTGATATAAAATTAAATATAAAAAAAAAACATTAACTTGTTTTCAGTAAATTGCCAAAGCAATATTTCTCATTATTTAGTTTAGCATGATGTACTAATAAAAATATACATTTATAAAAAATATAAAAGACAAAAACACAGAACAAAATTACTAAAACTTGAACTAAAATCACATTAAAAACTAATTCAAAATATTCATAAAAACTTTAAGAGTATCTCAATTACACTAAAATAAGACTTAAAATAACACATTAAAAAATAGACAAAAGTGAAAACTTTCCCTAGAAGCCAGGTGCTGAATTCTACACAAAATGCTAAAAAAGTTCACGTAAAATATATAAATCATTACAACAACAAAAAAAAACATTGCAAAAATGACTAAAAAATAAAGGATTATGAAAAAATATATTGTAGGTTTAACATGGTCAATAAGGCAAGGTAAAAATAGTTTTGAATTTTTACTCCAAAAATCTTCCACAGTGCACTTTTAAACAGTCGTTATCTTGAAGAGTGCAATGTAAAATATATATATACAGTATATATATAGAGAGAGAGAGAGAGGGAGAGAGAGAGTACATTTTACAAGAAAATCCTATTTCAGTCTTTCTACTTCAAAAAGTCATGTTTAATTTAGTGTTCCTTACCATTTCTTTGTAATTATTTGTGAAATTTACTCATTTACAATTTCTGAGTGAAAACTGTTGCAAAGTAAATCCTACACCAAATTTTTCATTGCTTATCTTGTACCTTACTTTTATGGTCTATTACGGAAGCTTTTATGGATCAATGTACAGCAATACTTTGCTCACGACCATTTGACCCGATTCAGCATCTAATCTCTTTGGATTGACAAGCGCGTCAAAGTTAGATATCGGTGGTGGTGGACCAGGGTGACTGCTTTTTTCTGTGGACATGTGTCTCCTCTGTGCAATAAGGTAATTGTAAAACTATTGTTCCATAACATTTTGAAAAATGATTTTCAGAAGACGGCTATACGCTCCCCTGCTTTCACAAGGAAATGGTGGCAATGCACAAACACTTCAGACGTTTTCAGAATGAAATGGACGACATTGCACAGATGATGAAGGGTAGGATTTTTACACCATTTAGAAAGCCAGAGTTGTAACTAACTTGTAATCATAAAATAATGTGCTCCAGTGACTCAAATCTCAGGTTACTTTGTCAGAAGCTTTGCACACACACATACAAACACAGGTGCATACTGGAAACTCATACACACGCTCACCGCAGCCTCAGGCACTGAGTTTGTTGAATTATAGCCCAACATGCAAATAAAAGGGGACAAAATAAAAAAACATTTATTATTTCACAATTAACCTGCCAGCGATAAAAAATCTCATAGACAGCAGAAATTTGCATGCGGGTCGAATTCGCATGGGAAGTCCTGGAAGTTTCCAAATTTAGAGAATAATTCTCCAATGTCCTTTCTTTCAGCCTGTGGCTAGGTGGCTCGAGTTATGACCTACTTTCCCCCTTTCCTACTGGACTACAAATTAAGGGAACTTCAACAAGGAGTGCAGTGCAATACAAGCTTTTATCGCCTTCCTCACTGTCAAATCTGCAATACCAATTTCTCTGTCTTGCTAGGATAGAAATCAAAGCAATTATCCACAAGACGCCATGCATTACAGTCATTTTAACATTATTATAAAGGGAATCAGGCACAGCACGAAAGACGAAACCTCCTAATTTTTCAAGCAGCAGCAATAGGAATAAGATAAAAGACACCATTTTTAATAAATTTATCACTAAGAATAATCACAATAAACAATTCTTCAGCCAAGTAAGAATTTGAATAATAATGTAGAATTTAATTGATGTGCTGGCTATTACATTGGCTATTTGACAATGGATGAGCAGTGTTTGATCAGATTTAAAGGGACAGTTCACCCAAAAATGAAGACTTACTTTCATCAGTGGAGCATAAAAGAAAATAATTTGAGAAATTTCAGTCTTTTTTTTTCATCCAATGGAAGTCAATGGTAACTGAATGGTAACAAAATATTTTTTTATATTCCGCAAAAGAAAGAAAGTCATACAGGTTTGAAACAACATGAGGGTGAGTAAATGATGACAGATTTTTCATGTCTGGATGAACTATCCCTTTAAGACCCAGAACTATCTGTTTTACAATTAAATATTATTCACATTGATAGCATTTATTTATTTATTTAGCACTTTTATTTTCAAAAGCGCTTGTTAGGTTGTTCACATAAGTGGAGAAATGCCTGTTTTCGAATGTTTTTCTTGTAAACAAGGCTTGATCTGTGCATATTTCTCTCCTGATTCAGATGAGATGGCTTTATTCCAGAATCCCATTGTAGCGCTCCCTCTATCTGCCCCTCCTTCAGCGGACTGTCTTGAGCTAGGAAACACTAATCTCATTACTGGGTTAATTTAGAGGACAATGTCAGCTACAGGGGGAGAAAGAGGAGGAGGAGGGGGGCTTTGGGACACTTTAATACTTCCCTCCACTGGATGGTACTTGGTTTAGGGAATATGATCCAAGTATATTGATCCTCTGGGACTAAAGATTGGATTTAAGTTGCTCTCCTGATTCAGATGAGATGGCTTTTTCACTGGAGAAAGCAATACTATAGAAAGAGGACTCGTATTTTACCCGAAAGCAGCGGTTTGAAGTAAAAAAAAAACATCTTAATTATGGATGTGTTTATAACAAACACACAGCTTTTCACTTCATGCTAATACTTGTGGATTATTGTGATGTTTTTGAGTCAATTTTCAGCAAATTTTCAATTTTGGGTGAACTACTCCTTTAACGTGTGTCTCTTAAAGTCTTGCTAATCATACTCATCGTCAGTCATGTCTAAATAAATGAGGAGTGATGCCTGGCTTCTAAAATGAGCATGAAAGTTATGCCATTATGGATTATGCCTGCAATATATCATATATCAATCAACAATACATCATCTCATCTTTTTCATTTTCCAACACCTGGGCAGGTTTTGGAAAAAGGGAAATAAATGACTGGCCAGAAAAAAAGACACTGACACATCCAATTCCTTTATGTCTAATTTTGGGTCAAACCCAACTATAATTGTTGCAAATGCAGACTTTTAAAGGCAAAGCTAGCCATTTTGCTTCAATGAGCAGTGCATCCCATTGCAAAAGAAAAAAAAGTGTATGCATAATACATTTTTCTTCTCTCTGGAAAGCATATTAATATTTACAAACTGAAAAATGCACAAAAAGCATCCACTCACCATCCACTCTGAAATGATGATGTCCACTTTTTCCACAGGAAGGTCAATTTCTTCTATTCTGCCCTTGATCAGTGTGATGGTGTCTTCAAGTTTATTTGATCTAGAGAAAGAAAAAATGTAAATAAACGTTTTATCTAACATTTAAATAGCAATAGTAGATGTTGTTGATTATATTAACTAAATTAAATTAAATGAATACAAAATTCATTATTCAAAATATGCATTTTTCTTTTGCAAGTGTTCAAATGAATAAAATAAAATAAATAAAAATATTTTTAAATATTATATATTATAAATATTACATTATAAAATGCATGTTACTAGTTTTAAACACCTCGTCTGAGACAATGAATGTTAAAGGGGTCATATGATGCGATTTCAAGTTTTCCTTTCTCTTTGGAGTGTAGACTGAAGTCTCAAATCCAAAGAGATATTCTTTATAAAAGTTAAGAGTTAACCACGCCTACCTAAAACGGCTAGTTCTAACACGCCCCCACAT